TATAACCTTTTATTTATAGGTGGTGATAGATTCATAGCGCTAGATAAAATATTATATTAAAAAAATACATATATTCCATAATATGGTTTACTAGCTTAGAAAGGCTCTTCAATGACCTCATGTGATGGGAGAGATAAGGGGAATTATATTATACTATCTCTAGAGATGAAAATGATAGGGAGTTCTTATGCTCCAACATGATAATTAATAAAAACTCATACTAGACCGCATATACAATTATCTTTAATTTGGCTTTCATTATAGATTCTAAGTATAAAAAATGCATGAAAAAACCTGTAACAAACCAACCTGACAAGACCCACTGGTGGGACTTATCCTATTTTATTGGCTTAGAATAGGTGAATCTCAAGATATTATTTTAAAAAAATTTCATGCTTCATCTTTCAATTTAAACTTTTAAAACAACAACATAATATAGAGTTATAAAAATCTTCCAAAGTGTTGAAATAAAGTCATCTATAGAATAGTTTATTTTATCATCAAAATGTATAGACATAATGAAAGTTGGTCATGACTATATAAAAATCAAAGAAAAATACATATAGAACTTAGATAAGATCTTGAACACCTAGTCAACATATTACTTTCCTTTTCGAGACCCTGAAAATAGAATACAAAATAATAGTGAGTTAAAACAACTCATCAGACCACAATTACTGATATAAACTTTCAATCCTTTCTTTTATTTAATATTTTTAAAAATTATTAAATGCAATGTAATGATTCACTGTGTGGAGCAGAGTAATAAAATCATTGTAGTTATTCAGATATTTAAATAATAATATTGAGCAGTAAAAAAATTGAATTTTAAATGCATTATATTTCACATAATATAATATAATAGATTTCCCCATCTTTTAGATAAAATACTAGATTCATGCCTCTTATAACTCAAATAGTAACCCCCTCTTTCAAACAGAATCCAAGATTCTGACCTCTTATAACTCTCAACAAATAGTATTTTAAATACTTTTCATTTTTAGATTCCAGATCTCATACAAAATCTTAAAGGACTCTAGTCCCTTATATCTCCAACCATATACTTTTCATATCAAACTCATGTAATTCAATCAATATATCACATATTTCCTTTCAGTATAACAATTAAAGCATAAAAAAACTCAATGCAAAATTTCCTAGCTTACTATAATGATACGCAATATAACACACTATTGAGTAAAAACTTATATTTTTAAAATATAACTAAATTATCATATATTGCGCATAACATTATAAAACTTTAATCACACTATAATACTATTTTTTTAGAATTTGGATTATTTCTATTCAATAAGAATTATATAAATTTCAAAACCATAGGTATAAAATATCTAGAAAATATTTAGAATCTTAATCTTTATAAAAAAGTATTTTTTGGTACAGCTAGGGGATTCGAGCCCGGGTGAAATAGGAGGAATTTCTTCAGTCCCGATCTCAAAATATAAAAAGTTATACATTTAAAGTTTTACTAGTATAAAGTTATACTCATTTTTTGGTAATAAAAATATAAATTTAATTAGAAAACTTAAAAAAATTTCATATCTTTGAATATTGAGATAGACATTGTGTGACCTGTCTCTATCCAGATAACTTTTAGAATTGGGTCGTTGGTTAAAAAAGACTCAAATCAACTCAAATCACCTTCCTCTCTCTAAAAAAACCTTATATTTCTTATATTTTTCTCTCTATTTTGGCTGCAGTGAACTAGGGGTGTAAGTGAGTCAAGCTGGCTCGTACTCGACTCATTAATGAGCTCATGAGTTGAGCTTATAAAGTAATAAGTTTGAGCTCAAGCTTACAATCGAGCTAGTATATTATACGAGAGGAGGGACTATAGTCAATGGGCGACGTAGGTTGAAGGGACCGTAATCTATAGTCGACGAGGGATGAAGGTCGAAGGCACCATGGTCGGCAGGTGATAGAGGTCAGAGGGACCATAGTTGATGTGCGTCGGAGGGACTATAGTTTCCAGGTGATGGAGGTTGGAGAGACCATAATTGGTAGGTGACGGTGGTCAGAGTGAACTTCAGTCAGCGAGCGACAGTAGTCGGAGGGACCGTAATTGGCAGGCTATGGAGGTATGAGGGACCGTAGTCAATGGACGACTGAGGTTGGAGAGACTGTAGTCAGTGGCCAATGGTGGTCGAAGGACTTGTCTTCGACAAATGAAGGTGGTTAGAGGGACCATAGTCAGGAGCGACTGAGGTTGGAAGGAGCATAGTCAGAGGGAAACTAAGAAAGGAAGGACCATTATTAGCTTCCATATGGAGGTTAGACTGTCATTATCAGATAGATGTTCATCAACGGCGACCTGGTGGTACAGATTTGTCAGCGTTGGTATCGAGGTAGAGCTTCAGGACCTCCGTAAATTGTGAAGAGTTAGGGGACTATTTATATTTTTTTGGGAGTCACATGGCTAGTAAATAGGGAGAAGATCAATGACATGTTGGAGTGTTTCAATGGACAACCGATATTGATCCCCTTGATCATTGAGCATTTATCAAACCTTTATGTGCCAAAAATGAATTCAAAATTAGGCGGCCTTAGGCTCGCTAGATTTGTCTCGTTGAACCGCCCGATTCGATTATAAACATGATGTATTTAGATATCATTGGTAATCCAATTAATGTTCTGAAGCTTCCAAATAAACTTCAGGCCCTTGATTGGGACCCATATGGGTTCAGATTGGACTAATTTTGGTGTCATTGGATTCAAAGATGTTCAAGTCAACTCTAAAGCTTGCTAAACTCAGTGTCTAGATGATCTTGAATTTAATTTTATAAGTTTTTTATTCATATTTGCATCGAGATTTTCACCTAATCTAGACAATTTTTGGTGACATGTCATTTATTATTCTCGTAATTGATTGACCACCCATTGCTAAATTTAGAGATTTGCTTGAAATTGAGAGATGAAATACAAATTTATAGTTATTGAAATATTATCATCAATCATTCAATATAGAGGGGGTGTAAAAAAGGGTTGACGGGTCGGGTTCAGGTTCAACATGAGTTGACTCGCATCCAAATGAGTTGAGCTTGATCTGATCCGATTTTACAAATGGGTCAGGATTGTCAACCCAGACTCGACCCATGCAAGTTATCGGGTTGATACGACCCGACCCGACCCGACCCGACCCGCGTGGGTTTGAAATCCCGAGCATTCACTCGCACGTGCTATAAGAGCTAGCTGCGACACAACAGGTTCGCCCAATTGGCCATCAGGGAGGACTTAAGAACCTTAAGAGCACATATCCCATTAACTAGTAGTGTATGTATGGCCAACTGACCATATGTATGGCCAACTGACCATATGGGACTCTTGACTAGCGGGATGCGACATAGTGACAATGGCTACTAGCCATCAATAGCACAGACACCAAACGGAATGACGTCGATGACTCGACCAGACGTCAGTGGCATAAACCAGGCATAACGACGTATTTGTAGACTCGACTAGATGCCAACGACCCAACGACAGAACGAGCAGGATGGTCGCAACGACATGCGACGATGTATTTTCGAACTTGACAAGAATTATATGTTGTCATCGGGTCACACGCCGACAAGACAAGGTCACACGCGATGTTCCTAGGTCAACCCAGGTTGGTTTTATGTTCCAAGTCAACCCGAACCTGACACAATTTTACAAATGGGTCGAAATCACGAATCTGAACCCGACCCGTATGGCAAATAGATTGACCAGAACAAAGAATTTTTTGAGTCGGGTTTAGGTCAAGTTTCGGGCCAATCAGATTTGACACCCCTAATAGGGATATATGCATTGCTATTTTGTAATATATAAGATCCCTCTTATAATACATTGAATTTCTCTAAGAGATGAATATAATTTATATTTGATAAATTAGTTTTTTTCATAGTCAACATTAATCATTAGATATTCTTATGGCTCATTATTTAATTTCCTTTTGTTAAAAAATTTATCAATTGTCATCCCTTAAAATTTTTGTTTATTTATTTTTAAAAATTAATCCCTTTGGGTTGATCTATTTTTTTCTTCTTCTTTTTATTCTTTATGCGATCACATATTCTTATATGTTCCAATTTGTACACAAAGAAAATTTTTTGTATCATTTTTGAGAATTAATTTATTAATAATATTGATACCGAATTAAATTTGGCTTTCATTTGAAGTAGTTTTAGTTTTGCTTATTGCATTTTTAAGGTATTTTCTGTAGCGAAGGAGCCATTTTGGCGATCGGTCATTACTATCCTTTTATTTTGAGATCAAAAGAACCTATCAAAGGAATTTAAGATATCAGAAGTCATCTTATTTATCAATATGATGGTCGTAAAGTGAGACCAAGGGTCACTTCTATGAAGCCTTTAATTAGGGTTCAGCTGTAAGTATATAAATAATCAAGCAATGGGATTTTTGCATAAGATGCATGACGGGTAGATAAAAGCTTTAATTGTAATATATTAGACTCTTTATATAGGGGTGTCAATTTCGAGTCACGGGTCGGGTTCGGATCGAACCCGGAACTGACATGAGTTCAATCGGGACGACCCTAACCCGATCCGGGTAGGTAAACGGGTCGGAAACTCGGACCCGGACCCGACCCGTCGGGTTGCCGGGTTGACCCGACCCGGTATGAAAAATTATCTTCCATATTTCAATTGAGAGTATTTTGATTTAGGAAAATTAACGAGTATTTGATAAAAAAAAGTTACGAATATTATTAATTCAAAATTTTTCTTACAAATTAGGATTTGTTTGGGATTGCTGTAATATTTTATGAATATAATTGTAAAGTTATTATAGGAAAATAACTTAAATAGTTTGATTGTAAATATTATTTTTTTTTTCATAGGAAAAATTAAAAAAAAAAAGTAGTAGCAAAAAACCCCAGCCTTTTGGATTAACCAAGAAAATAATCTTAAGAATTTTCCCACACAAACAGACGGTCGGGATTAACCCGAATACCATATAAATATTTTAACCGAAAATGCCTCACATTTCTGCATCGTTCCGTTTACCCTAACGCTAGGGCTTGGCCACCAGAAGGGAGGCGCTTGGAGAGTGCTCGGCCTGCAAACTTGGGACAACGGTTCTGCCCTTTTTACTCAGTTCTAATCATCCAGATTCTGTTTAATTTTGGTTTTCTATCTGTAATTCTTCGCATATACGCTTCGACTCTTATGACAACTATTCTGGATGTCTGCGATTGTGCTCTTGGATTACTACGCTATTTGAAGTTCTTGGTTAAATGCTTTATGTGATAATTGGTTTGGTGATCTGTTTGATTTGAACTAAGATTATAGTCTGTTTTGTGATTTCTCTTGTTCAGCTGGCTGTATTATTTTCTCTCTCTGGAATTTAATCACACTGGTTATGGTGTGTGTTGGGGCTTTTGGGTCTTGTGCTATGGGCTATGGTGCTGAAGGGCTATTCGGTTTTTATGGGGTAATTTTAGTTTAAGTTTAAGGATAAAGGTTGTTAATTAGTCCCGACATTCGGATGCTTTGAAAAAGTTGATTTTTTGATATCCTTTGATTCTAGTTCTGATGTGACAAAACTATATTGCTAAATCTTCCGAGACTTTTGTTTTGTGAGTTTTTGTGGGGATCAAGTTATTTTGGAAGATGAAATAAGCGGGAGTCATCATGTCTTTTTTTAAGAAATAATGTTTTGTGTCGAGGGAAGGATTAATAAGTTATCTAACTATCTACAGAATATCCTAATGCAGGGGAATTGTCTGTTGGAATTGGGTAGATATGCTAAGAAAGGAGTTAAAGTTTTTGTTTTAGCTAATATTGGTATCCAATTGATAAAATCTGACGTGTGGATGTATTAGGAACTTAATCATGAGTTGCTCTTGAATCAAAGTGCCCTCTAGAATCTTACATTTTAATGCCTAAGTCAGGCTGGAGATTAAAATGAGTAAAATGTGAGATCTTTCTACTTAAAGGAACATGTCTCTGTTATGATTATTGCTTTTAGATTTTTGCTCTTTTGTGAGCTTGCATCAAACTCACAGTAGTTTTCATAATTTAATGAAACATATGGGTCAATTGTTTTGATCATGGTGATATGCCTTTATGCAGGTAAGTAACTTATTGGAATTATACTGCGCATCACCCGATGGCACCGCCAGCAAAGGGTAAAATTACCTCAAAAGTTTTGTTTTTAAAGTCTTGCATGATATTGACTCTTTATCAGCATCATATTGAGAGTTGAGGCTATAAATATAAGCTAACATGTTAGCAGATCTTAATATGAACTTGATCGAACAATGATTTCCAATTAGGGGCATACTGTGCCAATTTTTTGTTGTTGTTGAGTTGGGAGGTAATTGTGTTTCTAATACATATAGTATTTTTAATGTTAAAAATCTATAGGCTAGGTGATTCATCTTCTTAATGTACATCCATTCATGAGCCACTTTGACCAATTCTAACATTTGTTGGTTTTTTAATTTGTGCTTTTAAGTGGCACCTTGGCTAAACTATCACTAGTTGCAATGCGTAGGATATCTCATTGTAGCTAGTGGTCAAGGGGCTTTGCACCTCTATGGTTAATTATTAAATTCTATAGCAAATCCTACTATTTATAGTATGTGGCTACTCTACTATGGCCTCCTATGCTTCATTTGCTCTAATGTAATTAGAAAAATGCAAACCTTTATTCATTGTTATATTGTCATATTTCATTTGGCGGGTGTCATGGTTTTATTATTTTTGGTCGAACTTATCAGGGAGGTCACTCATCATATGGGACCACAAACTAACATTTCCTAGTCTTTACACCTGTGCTTATTTCTAGTATCTTGGTTTTCCTATCACTAATGATAATGCATTGAGAATCCTCATTCTAGGGAGTGGTCCGAGGACTTTCCCGCACTAAGATTCCTTACTGAAGCTTTCATTGACTACTACATAAACAAAACTAGGATGCTGCTCTCATGTGGTCTCCTGCTCCCAGGATAGATATGGTGCTAGAGTTAATTGTATTTTTCAAATCCTGTATCATTTACTTTTAGTGCCAACTTTGTATTTATGTCAACTTTTAATACATCCGATAAGAGATTGTGAGGGGAGGTAAACAAACTTGCTTTTGAACTTGAATGCTTAAATAGTACCCTTTGTGGAGATTTTCATGCTATGTTATAAAAGTATAAATTACTCCCCAAAGGGGAATTTATTGATTCACTCCCAATTGTGTAATCTCAGGTGTGATGATTTACTGAACAGTCATTTAAGTGATGTAGTAAATGCATGAGCACGTTCATGGAATATGAATTTTTTGTTATAAGGCCTATGGTCAGGTTCTATTTCATTAGCACTTTAGGAAAGACCTAAAGTTTAGGCATGCTACGAAACAGCCTTGCAACTAATTTTCTTTATTATTATTATTTTTTTTGAATAAAGGTGTTTCTTCTCTTCGTATTTCATCACTTCATGTCATTAAACTGTTGTTTTACTTGGCACATTAAGTGTTGGGACGTGCAAAATGATGATGACTTCTAAAGTGGAACCGTACATTGCTTATTTTTAATTAAAGAATACAAAGAATTGAATCTTTTTTGTTTGCAGGTTGTGTAAAAATAGCTGAATATATAGAATCTGCCTAAACCAAACCGACTTAGTTATTTTCCAGATCTGAACTGCTTGATTGGGCTCATGGAGATCTAGAATAAAGACAATCTATTTGTTTCTTGAAAATTTCCATTTGCATAGATTGAAAATAAAATGTATTAAATGTAGTAATTTGAGTTGCTTTAGTTCAATTTGTATGTACAAGTTGCATGCCCATGAACAATCACCGAGTCTCATTTGTAAAATTTTGAAATTGCAAATCCTCCCATTCGCGCTCCCAAGTCCCTCAGTTAACACCGCCCCAACCTTTTGGAACATGACTCCTTTGGTCAGAAGCCATGATAGTGAGAAAGTCTTTACCCATCTAAATAGCACCAATATTATGCAGAGCCGCCTTGTCTATTGCTGAGCATGACAATCACTACTTCATCTGATAAATTATCCTCAAGAGCCTCTTCTTTGTTGAGACGAGCTAGTACGATGAAACCTGCTATGACAAGTGGATTATTCCCTGCAACATGGGCCTCATTTCTACTCGAGGCCCTTCCTATTGATCCACCGCCATCTGCTTCTTTCTTTTTCTTCCATTTGGATTTTAATCAAATTTCCCTTACATGATTTCCTTGAGTCTGTTTGGTTTGACGGAATCAAAAGTGAAAAGGAATTCAATTGAAATTAGCTTTTACCCGCATGTTTGGTTGAGAATAAATTGATAGAAAAATATTTTTCTTGTATAGTTGTTGAGTTTTTACCTCTTATGAGAGGAGGGGACATAGGAGTTACATCAATTACTCCATGACTATTTCCTTCTATTTTTTGAGAGGGTTGGGTAGGGAACCAATGAAAAATGTATTTATTCATACTTCCTAGGTAAATCTAATTATCACTCGAGAACATTGAAACGAGACACCCAAAATGAAATTATGATGTAAAATTCTGTTGCAATCCCTCCATTTCTTTCAAACGAAACTGATGTAGTAGATCGGTGGAAGAAGGGGATGCGAAGAAGGAACACAAAACTATGGAACCAAATCCAATCAAATGCTCATAATATCATAATATTCTATGTCCCTACTTTCTTACATCAAATTCTGTATAACATATAAAAAAGAACATTTTAGAAAGCCAAAAAGGTAATAAAGATATGTTATTTCCAAGCATAAAGCTGCCTCCGTGAGTCTCTCTTCCTCCGTCAGTCCATTCACTGCAAAGTATCTATCCACTCTATAGATTCACACATGAGCATCTTTCCCCTAAAAAACAGACATCTTCAGTTTTCTTACTCTCTGATCCCCTCCGCTCCAACTTCCTCTTGCACCTTTGACTCCTCCCATATAGCGATTGTTGTGATCTCTCCATTGTTCTCTCTCACCTCTCCTCCTTTTATAGATATCATTTTCCTCAAAATCAGCCCTTCTTGTTTCTTCCTCCCAATTTCTCCTCATGCTTTATCCTTCACCTATTTCCCTCCTGGTTATCAGTTCAAGAGGTGGCATATTTTTCATATCGCCTAAGATTTCTACCTCTCGATCATCTCTAATTGTGCCGATATTTGGGTTTCACCGGTCCCTTCGCCTCCCGCCGGTCTCTTCGCCTCTGATGTTGCAGGTTGGGTATGAAGTTCCAATATTTTCTTCATCATGTCCTCTAGGTTAAAAAACCTTCCTTCCATGGATGAAATCATTTCCTCAACTTCATATTTGAATTGACTAACTTCTTCTTCTAGTTTCTTTTCCAAAACATCAACTTTCTTCGGTGTCAAAGTTCTAGAATATTGTTCTGATACCAATTTGGTAGGACCTGATGATCAAAATAATACACAATATATAAAATAATAATTTACCCCAAATTAATCCAAAAAGACACAAAGAGAGTTATTTTTACTAATTTCCAATCAAAGTTAGAGAATATGCAAGTTGATTCACTATTCGAGAGGTGAATCGTCTCTCCCAAAATTTTTAGCAGATACTAGGAACCAAAACACATCACAAAAACTGCTGCAGAAATTCCAAAACATAACATAAAAATATCCTAATCCACCATAATACCCCCCAAATAGCTCAAATCCCCTAATAAATGTCCCTTACATCTAATAAATGCCCCTTACATTTTCCCAAAGAGTCCCCCTTTCTCAAAGAGTGTCCTCCCAAAGCCTCTTCTCTTATAGGTGATAAAGGAGGTCTTGGGCCCCACATGGGCAGTTGGATTATTGTTGCCAGCTACATCAATACTCCCCTCCCAAAAAGTCAACTTGTCCTCAAGATGAAAAAAAGGAAATAGCTTCTGAATAGTACTGTAGGGCTCTCATGTCGCCTCATATTATGGTAAATCATTCCACTTGATTAGCACCTCCTTGATCCCCTTATTTCCTTGGCCCATCCCTTTCAGCTCTAATGGTTCTCATTCATTTGTTGAACCAAAGTCCTATTTCTGTAAAGTCGGATCTTCAAATAAACCATGTCCCCAACCTTAAACTGCATATCTCTCATATGTCCATTCGCCTGCTTCTTCATGAATTGTTGTGCTATCTGTAGATGGTCCTTCAATTCTCCTGAAATTTGGTCTCTTTCTCCCAAGTACTGCTCCACTGATGACATTGGTGCGTTGCCATGCCCATAATGTATTAGATGAGGTGGATTCCTCCCATATAGAATTTTAAATGGCATTGTCTAGGCTTCTGTATGATATGAAGTGTTATACCAATATTCCGCTCAGGCTAACCATTTTGCCCAAATCTTTGATGTATATGATACAAAGCAATGAAGATAAGTCTCCACACTGCGATTCACCACCTCCATTTGACTATCCATCTTTGGGTGGTAAGTCTCCACACTTCTCATTCATTTGTTGAACCAAAGTCCTATTTCTGTAAGGTCGGATCTTCAAATAAATCATGTCCCCAACCTTAAACTGCATATCTCTCATATGTCCATTCACCTGCTTCATCATGATTTGTTGTGCTATCTGTAGATGGTCCTTCAATTCTCCCGAAATTTGGTCTCTTTCTCCCAAGTATTGCTCCACTGATGACATTGGTGTGTTGCCATGCCCATAATGTATTAGATGAGGTGGATTCCTCCCATATAGAATTTTAAATGGCATTGTCTAGGCTTCTGTATGATATGAAGTGTTATACCAATATTCCGCTCAGGCTAACAATTTTGCCCAAATCTTTGATGTATATGATACAAAGCAATGAAGATAAGTCTCCACACTGCGATTCACCACCTCCATTTGACTATCCATCTTTGGGTGGTAAGCTGTACTCCTCTTCAGGATAGTCCCTTGCATATTGAATAACTCCCTCCAGAAGTGGCTCAGAAAGATCTTATCTCAATCGGACACAATGCAGTCGGGTATGCCATGCAAATGAACCACCTCTCTAATAAATATGTCTGCCACCGACATCACAGTGTAAGGGTGGCGTAAGGGAACGAAATGAGCATATTTGCTCAATTTGTCCGCCACCACTAGAATCATAATAAACACGTTTGATTTAGGTAGTCCTTCAATGAAGTCCATAGTCACCTTTTCCTACACCTCGGGTAATGCTAACAGCTATAGAAGACCACTTGGAGCCATAGCTAGGTATTTCTGTCTCTGACACACATCACATATGGCCACTAACTCCTCTACATCCTTTCACATGCCCACCTAGTATAGCTCCGCTGTCAATTATGATGTCTTATGAACTCTTGAATATTCCTCAATAGCTGTGCCGTGAAACTCTTGCAACAAATGAGGGATGTGTAGCGATTTCCTCGAAAGCGCAAATCACCCTTAGTATAGTAGCTTCTGACCCATCAGAGAATAACCAGGATGGCTATCCTTGTCCCGTGCAAGTCTTCTCTAATCTTACTCAACTCATCTTGCTCGCACTCATGCTTCAAGGTCTCAATCCATCACCATGGAAATAGATAGAGCCATAACCTAAGGGGCTTCACTACGCTTGGAGAGAGCATCTGCTGCTTTATTTTCTAACCCAGGCTTGTACTGGATCTTGAAATCATAACCCAACAACTTGGAAAATCACCGTTGATGCTCCTCTGTTACCATCATCTGCTCTAACAGGAACTTCAAACTTATTTGGTCAGTCCTGACTATGAAGCGTCGTCCCAACAGATAAGGTTGCCACTTAAGTATTGCCAACAATATCGCCATCAACTCCCTTTCATACACTGATTTCAACATGGTCCTAGCGATCCAAACCTGGCTGAAATAAGCTATGGGTCTCTGACTCTACGTAAGAACTGCTCTTAACCCATAACCTGATGCATCGGTCTCCACTAGAAACGGCTGGCTGAAATTTGGTAGTGCTAACAAAGGAATACTTGTCATGGCTTTCTTCAACTGCTCGAATGCATGAGTGGCTGCCACCCCCCATTTGAAACAATCCTTCTTCAATTGCTCTGTCAATGACCATGTTATATAATTGTTTTCCCTCACAAATTTCTTGTAGTACTCTGTTAGTCCCAAGAATCCTCTCAACTCCTTCAGGGTTTTGGATAAGGGCCACTCAAACATAGCCTCTATCTTGAAAAAATCTGCAGCTACTCCTAATTTAGACACAATGCGTCCCAAATACTCCACCCTTTACTTTATAAAGGAACACTTCTTCAAATTGGCATATAATTGATGCTCCTTCAATTTTATTAGCTCTACCCTCAAGTGTTCCACATGCTCTATTCAACCGACTAAAATATCATCAAAGAAAACCAATACAAACTTGCAGAGGTAAAGTTGAAATACTTTGTTCTAATATGATGATATCCAATTTCAGATCAATCTTGGAGAACATCATCGCTCCATATAACTCATCCAACAACTCATCATGACTGGTATGGAAACATATCCAACACACTTTCCTTATTCAGAGTTTCATGATCTATACAAAATCTCCAACTACCTTCCTTCTTCTTTACCAATAACACAAGACTGGAGAAGGGATTAACATTGACACGAATGATTTGGGCCTCCAACATCTCCTTGATCAGTCTCTCAATTTAATCTTTATGAACTTGTGGGTATCGATAGGATTGAACACTGATAAGGGATACTCCCTTCTTCAGGATGATGGCATGCTCATGCTTTCTTGGGGGAGGTTGGCATTGGGGTAGCTGGAACACATTACTGAATTGTTGTAGGAGTGGCTGGACTATCTCTTGAATCCCCTCATTCCTCATACTTCTTCCTCTCTTGAGGCTCTGGAGCTCCACCAAGAATCCCATCCCTGCTCCCTGGATTGCCCTCGCCATGGTCTTTAGAGAAACCCTAGTTTTGGACGGACTAGAATCCCCCCGAATTCTCACCTTCCTTCTTCTCACCATGAATTCCATAGTCAATGCTTTCCAGTCCACCTTAGTTTCCCCCAATGTTTGTAACCACTTAAAGCCCAAAATTACATCTATGCTCCCTAACTCCAAGGGAAGATAATCCTCCTTCACCTGGATCTACTGCAGTGTCACCATCACCCTAAGTAGATGCCTTTACTCTTCTCCATCTTCCCCATTCCCATATCATCCCAAAATAGCCCGTGTCAACTAGCTTCAGCCCCAATCGGTCCACTACCTGGTTGGAGATGAAGTTATGGGTTGCCCCACGGTCCACTAGAACTATCACTAATTCTCCTCCTATCTGTCCCCTCACCTTCATGGTGTGATTTGAGGTAAACCCCACCATTGAGTTTAGGGAGATCTCCGCCATATCTAGATGCAAATGCTTCTCCTCCTCAACCACCTCCTCCTCATTACAGACTGCAAGTACCTGCAGCGAACGATCCTTGCATCGGTGGTCTGACGCAAATTTCTCATCACAACGGAAACACAATCCCCTAGCCTGCTTCTCTTGAACTTTTGCCTAAGTCAGTCGCTTGAAACTTCCACCCGATCGTGTTCCCAATCCTCTATCCTTGAGTATTTCCCTCTGAATGGGCATATTTTGTATCTTTGGTGCCAAAAAATTAGTTGTCCGGTATGAAGCTCCTAAATTGTTGCCCTTGCTGCTTCTCTCAAGTGAGCTTTTATCCTCCACAAATATGGCTAGCTTCATAGCCTTCTCCAATCCTCTTGGCCTCAATAACTGGACAACATCCCTGATCTCTGGCTTGAGTCCCTTCATGAAATCCCCCTCAAATACTGTCTCAAAAAGCCTCCTTAATCGGCTTGAAAGGTACTTAAACCTCTCCCGATAATCCATTATTGTCCCTTCTTGAACAAGAGCAAAGAATTGCTCGTAAAAGTCGCCTTCCCGACAGGTTCATAAAATGTTCTAATAAACTATCTTTGAACTCCCTTCAGGATCGAATTGGTTCTCTCATGTCTTTCCATTGATACCAAGACAAGGCCTTCCCCTCCAAGCATAAAACAGCCTTCGTGAGTCTCTCTTCCTCCGTCAGCCCATTCACAGCAAAGTATCTCTTCACTTTGTAGATCCATCAATGATCATCTTCCCTCTCAAAAACAAACATCTTTAATTTTCTCACTCTCGGATCCCCTCCACTCCAACTTTCTCTTCTACCTCCGGCTCCTCCCATATAGCGATTGTTGTGATCTCTCCATTGTTCTCTCCCACCTCGCCTCCTTTCATAAATATCCTCTTACTCAAAATCAGACCTTATTTCTTCTTCCCAATTTCTCCTCACGCTATATCCTTCACCCATTTCCCTCATGGTTATCGGTTCAAGAGGTTGCATATTTTTCCTATCGCCCAAGATTTCTACCTCTCGATCATCCCTCATTGTGCCGATATTGGGGTTTCCCCCACTTCCTTGGCCACCCGCCGGTCCCTTCGCCTCTAATGATACCGATTGGGTATGAAGCTTCAATATTTTCTTCATCATATCCTCTAGGTTAGAAAACCTTTCATGGGTGAAATTCTTTCCTCAACTTCAGATTTGAATTGATCAACTTCTCCTTCTAATTTCTCTTTCAAAGCATCCATTTTCTTCGGTGGCATAGGTTCATAATCTTGCTCTGATACCAATCTGATAGGACTTGATGATCAAAACAGCACAAACAATATAAAAATATCAACTTACTCCAAATAGATCCATAAAAAAACACAAAAAGAGCTGTTTTACTAATTTCCAAGCAAAGCAAGAGAATATACAAGTTGATTCACTGTTCGAAAGATGAATCGTCTCTCCCACAATTCCTAGAAGCTACTAGGAACCTAAAAACTACAGCAGAAATTCCAATACATAACTTAAAAAAATCCTAACCATAACCCTATAATAATAAATAGGTCTTATGCCCCACATTGGCAGCTAGATTGTTGCTCCTATAAATAATAAATGAGGTCTTAGGCCCCACATTGGCAGCTAGATTGTTGCTGCCAGCTGCATCAAAGGAATCTGCACCCTAAAAAACATGTTCTTGGAGATTTGTTTTGTTGCTTAATCAGATAATAGTCTTGTTTTGTATTAAATCCATTGCTTGTATTAGGAATTAATATTGCGAATTGTTGTCAGATATGAGGATAAGCCTTTTTTCATATTATAGAATTTTCCTTTTAGGATTTCTTCATCCTTACTCATTAGGTGCCAATGCTAACTTTGAATTGTTGGCGATGCTTAACCCAAGTTTTTAAATAAATGTTGACTTGACAAGAGGATTTAACCGGGTTCCAACTGAATTAACAAGTTATGTTACAGTTAAATCTAATCCTCATGTCATTTTGTTTTACTTCTCTAAGCTAAGCTGTGTATCCCATCATATTTGGCTCGCTTACTATGTTGTGTTGGATCAACCAGACTCTATAATTGCTCCCCCAAATCTTTTTTGATAAATAATATGCATTGGATATGACCAGTTTAGATATATCTTTGACAGCCCGTTCATGGAGCTCTGGCTGTCAATTGGATAGGCTGCACGTATTTTGCGAATAGCTGAAGGCTTTTTTAATATTTGAAGATTGATGTTTTGTTATACTTATTTATATTATTTTTCTATGCATTTACCTGGAATCAGCTACCTCCAAGAAGTCTGATGCCAAGTCTCAAGCAGTGAAGGTTGCCAAGGCAGTGAAGTCAAGTGCTTCTTCCATTAAGAAGAAGGCTAAGAAGATCCGCACTTCCGTGACTTTTCACCGTCCGAAAACACAGAAGAAGCCCGGAGAACCAAAATATCCCAGAATCAGTGCTCCTCCTAGAAACAAGCTCGACCATTACCAAATCCTCAAGTATCCTTTGACGACTGAATCTGCCATGAAGAAGATTGAAGATAACAATACTCTTGTTTTCATCGTTGACATCCGAGCTGATAAAAAGAAGATTAAGGCGGCTGTAAAGAAGATGTACGACATTCAGACAAAGAAAGTTAACACGTTGATCAGGTTAACTAACCTTTTTAATTTGTATTGCTATTAAGTTAGGCTTCGTTTGAGATGACTTTCTTATTGCTTCTTAAATAGCTTTCTAGTTTAAATTTTTTAATTTTTCACTAAAAATCTGCTTTAAGCAGTAAGAAAGTTGTCTCAAACGAAGCATTAATTATATATTTTTTAGCTAATTTGTATCTTGTATCATGATGATGGATTTTGAAGTTATTAAATTTACTTTTAAATTAGTGCAATAGAAATTTTTTTATATATAACAATAATCCCAAAGCAAACCAAGTAATTTTTAAACCCATTTTGATATAATTTTTATCAGTGTGATTATGTGCATTTCATATTCTTTTGTAGGCCTGATGGTACAAAGAAGGCTTATGTTCGCTTGACTCCAGATTATGATGCTCTTGATGTTGCAAACAAAATCGGTATAATTTAGTTCTGATTCTATGGACTGAAAATTTTGTCCTTGGGAGTTCATGTTCTTTAGACCCTTTGCAAGCAAGTAAATTCATGTCATTTTGTTATGTGATTTTGCTTTTTGTTGAACATTCTGTTTAATTTTAAGCATGATGGATGTTGAATATAATAGCTACTTAGAATTTCTTCATTGAATGCATTGTAAGTGTATTAAGTTTATCATATTTCTTCTTAGTTGTAAGGCAACAAATGTTTAACATCTTTTTAACTCAGGCTTATTTGGGATGGCTTTCTTACTGCTTCTTAAAGCAGTTTCTTATCACAAAATTTTTAATTTTTGTATTAAAAAGCTGTTTTAAGAAGCAGTAAGAAAACAATCCCAAACGATCGTAACATCTCAAAAATGAGGTGGTGATGTCTCTGAAGTGATGTCAGTTTGTTTGTCTTTATGTTTTATATAAATATTTTAAACTTATTATCATTATAATAATAGTGATATTGAGGGATGATACATTGCTCTTTTGTGGTGCTCCATGGCTTTGTTGAATCCGTTGGGCATTGTGGTAGGCGACCTCATGCAAGGAAATATGATATTTGAAGTTATTTCTTTGTACTTAGCTTATTTTGATTTGTTGGTTGAGAATTTTAACTATCAATGGGTTTGAGTTTGAAGGTTTTGTATTTGACGGGTGAAGTGTTTGGCTTTATTTGCTCAAAAGTCTCCAAAAAAAAATTAAATTATATCTTTGTGTCAGAATGAGAAATGAAGAGGAAAAGTAAGAATGTTCTTTTAAAAATTGATTCTAAATGAATTTTAAAATACTTAAAATTTTATTTTGAAATCAGTATAATAATAAAATAAATTAATTAATAAAGAATTATATTAGATGGAAATCAAATTTCAAATTAGAGAGAGTTAAAGGAGAACAGTTTACCTTGATCTGTTGGTTGAGAGCTTATATTTTCAACTAAGAGGTTTAGGATTTGAGTCTCTGTGTATGTATTGTGTGTGTGAGTTTTTAAATGAACTAAATGTCCCAAAAAAAAAAGTTGGAGGTTCAAAGCAAAACAAATTAGAGGAGAATGGGGCATTAAAATATGGAGCATGCTTCCTTGAATTATGATAGAGCAACTAGTGATTTATGCTTTTTGGACATATCTTAGCATGGCAATGAAAATATACATATGCTAATTTACTTAACTTACCCACCCTTATCTTGATCACCAATACTTATGGGATGAGCTTTATATTTATAGAATTCAAAATGAGAGGATGGATAGCACCTTATTTTTTTTTTTGGCCACTCATTTAGGGCAAATTATTGCATCCGGTCATCGGACGCGAAGATAGGTCAGAATATTAATAAAATATTATTTTAAATTAAGTGCGTCAAAAGTGCAGGTAAAGCGCAGTCAAAGTGCAGGTAAAACGCAGTCAAAGCGCACCTAAAGCACAACTAAAGCGCACCTAAAGCGCAGTCAAAAGCGCAAGTGACATGGCATATTTTTATTGGAGGTCCGAATCTATTCTGTGCGTCTGGTGACCAGATGCAATAATTTGCCCTCATTTAGGGGACATAGATGTGTTAGATAGCTAGCAAGTTTAACATTAACCTTTGAAAAAGGTTAGTGCCTTGGAGAACCTATTTGGTTGGTCAAATATGCTATTTCTATCTTAGGTAGGTCCCAACAATTTTTGTTATCCCATTGGCTTAGTCCCTTTAGCTATCCATTTGGCTTGGATAAGAAACTAATTTATTTCTCTAAACCCTACCTAGTTTAAAGTAGTTAAGGCCTATACTCTTCTAGAGAACCTCCAAAATCTAGAAGGTTGCTATTAATTGATAGGGTCATTTGAAGTAAAATTCTTAGCACCTACTTGGCATCTCATCTTTTGATCAACATCTTTGAATAGCACCTATTGACTCTTTAGCTTATGACTCCCTCCATAACGCATTGCCGAAATACTTCCAACCGACGACTCAATCTTTGTCGATAACTTCATTCTGTTAAGCTATATTATTAATGGCCTAGTTGCAGGACACTCCTGTTAACATCCATCAATATGATCCGTTGTCTTTCACGTGAAAACTCATCCTCCAATCTTTGCCCATGGGTCTTACTAGGAGCTTCCTCCATTAGCAAACTTTCTTGCTTGTTGAATCCTCATTCTCTTTGGGTAAAAACTAATGACCCATCAACTCAAGATCATAAACTTAAAAATGTAGGAATCTCATCAATACCTACCTTGGCATTGCATATAATTGGCTAAATTATCAACATTAAATTTGACATATTGTCACACATTTTTAAGCATGTAAGATCATAATCTATTTGATGTTTATTATGAGATGGACACATGATCTATACATAACATTCCATTGCCATTAGATACAAGCACCCCTTGTGTTTCTTATAGATAATTATAATGAATCTTTTTGGAGAGCTAATAATACTCTTCTATTCTTTTTATAAATATATATAGCATATAGCCTCATAAATTAGCATGCCACAATTGTCCCCAAACTCATTTGAAAAAAAAAAACTATTTGCTTCTCCCTCTATCCTTCGCCTATCACACTTCATTCAAGGGATAAAGTGTGCCTCCCATGTGTAATTTATCATTTCCTTTTTCATAGTAGAACTCTGCCTGTTATATCGAGATATATACTACAGATTTGAACCACATGAAATCTTATGTTCATATGTACTCCTTCATCAAAGATGTTAAGTCTCCATTTTCACAATCATTCCACAATTAGGAAGTATTATTACGTCCTCCGACCGGACGTAGAGTTACGTCCGGTCGGAGCTAAAATCGCGCCAAAAAACGAGAAATACCGAGCAAATACTGAGCAATACCAAACAATAACAAGGAATACCATCATATGAAGACCCAATACCGAGTTATAACGAGCTATACCGAGCAATACCGAGTTATACAAAAAAATACCGAGTTTTTCCTAGAAAAAATCCGTATTTTTTTGTATAACTCGGTATTGCTCGGTATAGCTCGGTATAACTCGGTATTGGGCTTCACATGATGGTATTCCTCGTTATTACCAAATAATACCTAGCAATACCAAGCAAATACCGAGTTTTTTGGCGGGATTTTAGTGCGACCGGACATTCCTCTACGTACGTTCACCAGACCAAATAAAAGTTCCACAATTAGGAAGTACTTCGGGTCAAAGACTTACCATGTCAATTATTTCATCAAATGTCATTACTTCTTGGGGGCTGTTCGGTTGGATTAGTTTAGGGTGTGAATTATTTTAAATGTAAGGGTTTTACAAATTTTGGTGTTTGAAGTAAAGTAGTTCATTTTGAGTGTAAATCAAACTCCTCCGATTTTCAATGAAATCAATTCACATTACAAGTTTGCTTGACCATGATCACCCACCGCCTGCCATCGCTAGCCGCCGCCCACCACCATCAGCCACAGCCAACACCGCTGTTGGCCACTGCTAACACTGTCTCCTGTAGCTGTCACTGGCCATCACCATCGGCCGTCAACCACCTCCCGTTACCACCACCACCGCGCCGGCTGCCACTGCCAACCACTGCCACCAGCCGTCACAATTTATGACTTTACATTTATTATTTCAATCCAACAAAAAAAAGGCATCAACCTACATTCATCTAAGCAACTCCAAAACATTTCTTTTATTCTGCATTCCCATTTCAGCCAAATTAATCCCAACCAAACAGCTCATTAGGCTATGTGATGTCTCTTTATTGACGAATCAAAATTTTTTTTTTTTTCACAATATCATTAAAAATTTAAGAAAATTTATATAAATATAAAAATTGATTATCAAAATATGAATTCAAACCTTCCTCATTTGAGAATTGTTTTACTTGGCCAAAGTTTTTTTTCATTATTATTATTGCTATTATTATTAAACCTATATTTTACTGGAATGTCGTTCTCATTTAGAAAAAGAAATAAAATATAAAATTAATGTATTCTTTATTTTTTTTAATGCCCTATGTCCTTGGGAAGAGATTTTGGGCTTAATATTTTTACTATTTGATCATACATCTACTTAATATGGGCAAAAGTCAAATTAAGCGCATTAAAATTATTGAAAATTCATCTCTTTCTTTTTCATCAATCATACTAAAGATTGAGTGCTTTCAACTATATAATCCAAGTTGTTGCATCATTAATATTATATTTTAATGATAAAGTTTTTTTTAACCAAATTGGTGATGGTGTGATATTCTTGTAACTATGTAATAATTGCCTTCCCATTTATTTGATGAAGTCAAATTAGATGAAAATATCATTACCTTTGATTTGGATTTTTATTGATATTTCATTAAAAATTATGAATTTTTCATTATAAAACATCACATTTTAAAATTATTGGTATTCACCCTAAACTTTGGATTCAATAATAAAATTATTTTTATTGAATGATATTTAATATCTTAACTTCTTATTCAAGATAGGCTTTGTAGAAGAGTAAGCCAATGACTTCTTTGACTTTTTTAATGACATATTATCAAACCTAAGGTTGCTTAGGATCACAAAATTTTATATCTAATAAAGTTTTTATTTATTTTTTGCAAAGCATAATTTTGAAATAATCTAGAATAATCGAAATGAGGTCTAAGGCTTCGTTTGAGACTGCTTTCTTTGTGCTTCTTAAAACGGTTTTTTAGTACAACAAATTTAATTTTGTAGTAAAAAGCAGCTTTAAGAAGCAGTAAAAAAGCCATCCCTAAGGCTTTGTTTGGGACGTTTTCTTACACCTTAAAGCAGCTTTTTAGTACAAAAATTTTTAGTTCAATAAATTTTTGTATGAAAAAACAACTTTAAAAAACAATAAGAAAGTTGCCCCAAATAAAGCCTAAATTAGATTGGATGAATTGGTATCCAAATAAATGGTATGATAACCCTTAAAGTAAGATTCAATAGTAAGCCTATTGATGTCATATCGTTCAAACTAGATACTAAACAACTTGAATCGATCGAACCGAGCAAAAGTGGCCTAGGCCAAATCATTCTAGCGTGAAAAGCCTTGATCTTTGCATGATGAGGTCAAATTTGGTGGTTGAGAAGCTTCCCACAAATTTTTTTAATTAAGTTTTCAAAAATTTAATCCATCACTATCAATGCATGGACTTCGCCACACACTAAGTATTATATTTATATCAATTAATAAAGACTTCGCCAATTGTGGAAGACCTTCACTAATTTAAAAGTAGATAATTATGCTCTTACCAATCATCAAGAGATGTATTTACTAATAATCTATGGATTCACATTTAAACTTTATTTGGGATTTATTGCTTTTTAAATCAACTTTTTAATACAAAAAGTAAAATTTTTATACTATAAAACTATTTTAAGAATCAGGACGTTCCAAGCCAAGCCTTAGCCAAAGTGATTATAGTCTCTTGAAATAAAATCTTTCTTTCATCCTTATAAATTTGAATGTTTAATTATAATAAAGAGGATGCTTATTAATAAAAATTCTAAAAGTTTCACTAATGACTCATCGTTTGATGGATAATCCATTTAAGAAGAAGGATGCTTTTTTAATTTTCTCATCCCCTTTCTATTATCTCCACTTTTTTTTTTTTTTGAGTTAATATTTAAGAATAATTAAGATACCTTAAATATGACAAACACATTATTAAAACTGATTTAAATTATATATCTATTTTATTATAAAATCATTATATGTGATTTCATTGGTTATATGACCTACTTTGAATTAGAAATAGTTTTTTTTAATGAATTTTTAAAATATTATATGTTTGAAATTTTAACTGCTACTAAATTATATGTAAATTTGATCATTAGAGGGCTGATTTTGGGCTCCTTATCGAGTTATATAATACTATATATAAGACACTATATTCTTATTCTTGATGATTTAACATATATTTCATAAAAAAATGAGTATTTTAAGCAATTTGATTAAACCTTTTTTAATGCTAAATTACAAATTAATCTTAATCATAACACTTTAATAAAGTTAATGTTCTCTATTAAGTACAGCTTTATTAAATCATCACATTTTATACACATGTACATAAAATTATTATCCAATAAATTTAACTTCCACATATCACATCATGGATTCTTTCCATCGCACAAATTTATTACTATAATTTTCACATTGCATTATATGTGAGATTTAAATTGAGAAAAAGTTCATAAAAAATAAAAAAATTGCATACTCAATTTACCAATCCTCTTTATATGCCATACACCAAATATTTAATATTTATATTCGTTACTTTCATTAAGAGAAGAAGATTGAGACCATAAGAAGGAAGATTATGATCTCCTTGGAAAGAGATAGAATCATAAACCACCATTAATAAATCGGCAAATTATTAGGTGTGAACACCTGACAGAGAGAATCATCCAGATTTCTCTGTCTACAGTAAAAGCGCAGATATTGTAGCAGCTGTGTTTTGACTGTGCTTTTACTATAGACAGAAAAAACCGAACGGTTTTCTCCGTCCGGTGTCCGCACCTAATAATTTCTCTAATAAATCCTCTAAATGAGAGATTATTATGTGTGGGATCCGGACGTAGCTTTTCGTCAAGACTCCAATCACGAAAAGACATTTATATTTTCTCATGTGTACAAAAGAACAAAAATTTATGCATTTTCACGTGATTGGAGTCCAGTCAAAGAGCCACATTTGTGAATGCAGAGGACAACCTCTATATCAGTTTTCTTTGAGTAGCAGAAACTAAAATCAGGTAGAAAAACTAGAGAAAGGGCAAAGTTCACACCAAAAACAATCTATTTGACATTTGTAATAAAACAATACATAAAAATTAGAGCTGCAATTTGGATTTAGCAACGAGCAAAGCTTTCATCAATAATGATCAAGAGAAACCATGATTGAACTTAAAAAAGCTTAGAAATGCAAGTCTGAAGTCGAGGAAGACTGACAAAATTGAATCCAAAGAAACGCTCTTTAGCAGAGTAAAAAAAATCACCAAGGTTTGTACCTCTTCCAACTAGACATGGAATGGTTCTCATTTAAGTTTCAGAATCTGTAGTAGTTTGCTTTGGAGTAGCTGAAGGCCACTGTTTGCTAATACGAGACCTCGTCCATGGATCAAGCGGGGTCCTTTCAGGTGGCTGCGGTGTGGGAGGCTTAGCTTCTCTTAGTTCATTCTCTCTGTCAACGAACCTGGAAAAGGGTGATACTAATTGAGTTCTAAATACAAGAAGAATGGCAAAGATAAAACTCCACTGTTAGGGTAAATGAGTAATAATGTATCATCAAAAAATTATGTTAATCGGGCACGAACCTTGAAGCAAAAATCAAGTTGGAAACATCAAAAATTAAATCCGGGATCATCTGAACGCTGATTTAAGCGAATTTATAGTCGAACTGAACATCCTAGAAATACGAACCCAACGATAACAAATTCGACCCAATCTGAGCTCAAATTGGTTCAAATCGAAGGCCCGAAGCATATTCGAAAGGTTCAAGCCATAATTTGGATTATCAAACAGTTTCCAAACATCACATGCTTATAGTCGAATCGAGCGACTCGACGAGACAAATCTAACGAGCCCAAGATCGCCAAATTATAATATCATTAAGACATTCAAATGCCCAATAAACGGTCCATGATCAAGAGATTCAACATCAGCCGTCCATTTAAACCACTCCCAAATTACCCTTGATCTTCCTCCTATTTACTGGTCATGCCACTCTTAAAAAACTATAAATAGACCCCTTATTTCTCATAGAAGGGGACCCCAAAGGGGAGGAAGAAGGAGGCCCAAACAAGAAGAAAAGAGAAGGAAGCAAGGAAGAGAAGGAAGAGACTCCTCGACCACCACCAGACTTGCACTCGGTAGCTTACCGACACCGGAGTTCTGCCCGAATGCCATCTAACGCCGGAGTTCTATCTGGTCGCCGACTGACGTCGGACTTCTACCCGACACCGGACCTCTGCTCGTTGCCGGATTTCTACCCTACGCCGGACTTCCACCCGTCGTCGGTCTTTCGCCGGACTTCCATATGACGTCAGACTTCTGTCCATTGATAGACTTCTACCCAACGTCGGATTCCTATCCGACATTGGACTTCCGCCTGTCACCGGATTCCTACCCAATGCTGGACTTCTGCCCATTGCCGGATTCTTGCCGGACGCCGGACTTCCACTCGTCACCGGAATTTCGTCGGACTTCTGCCCGTCGCTGGATATTCCTTGGACTTCTATCCGACATTGGACTTATGTCCATCGTTGGACTTCTACCTGACATCGTCCTTCCGACCTCTGTCGCTCGCCGACTACGGTCTTTCCGACTTACATCACCCACTGACTGATGGGGACATCAGATCATCATGGAGAGTTTATCAGAGACGCGGCCGACGATCTACAACCACGATCGAGTCTTTATATTTTTGAGTCGTTGATGTATTTTATTTTCATGTAGCTTGTTATTTGCTTATGTGGCATTTAGAGTCGTTGTATTTTTATTTTATTTAGTTTCTTATGTGTTTCTTTCCCGTTGCACCCTTCTTATGGGAATTATCGTATGTGAGCCCAAAGGGCGTTTGTGTCTTTTGTTTAGAGTCATGCTATAGGAGGCTATTTAAAGCCCCATTTTATTCTATTATGGTTAATGAATGATGATAAAAAAATTTTTCTTCCTACACTTGTGTTTGTGAGTTTTGAGAGTTCTTGGAGAGCTTTGGAGAGACCCCTTGGAGAGGGAGATAAGCGCACCACCCACCAACCTTGGAGACGGCCGGGTTCGTGGTTTTACCGTCTTTATCTTATCAACACCTCATCGACGAACTTCCCCACCATCCGTTCTCACCGCCGGCCCTTTCACCTGACCATTTCCCCTCTCCCAAACCTCACGGTCCCCCTTTACCCGAGAACTTCCACCTTGCCGCCACCATAGCTCATTAAGCCGCCGGCCATAATCACTTGTAGCCGTCCATCTCTTTTCCTTTTCCCCTTTGATTTGTTTCCTATTTTGGATTTGATGTATGATGGAATATTCTTAAATTTGAATTCAAAATATTTGAATTTCAAATTGTTTCCTAATATTGCGACTCTGTTTTAGGAAAGTGCTAAATAAAATCCATGTGAGTAATTTCATTCATGAAGATTTAATTTAAAACTTTCCTAATCCTAGAACTTAAAATTAGGAAGTCTTTATTTGCTTGCATCAATCAAATCCTAGCCTTGCATAACCGCCGGCCTCCCTGCCTTCTCCCATCAATGCCAATTTCAAATTATTTCCTAACCCCTACAGCTTACTTTGGAAATAATTGAAAGCATCCAATCTCAGCCCTTGGCCGAAACTTTCTCTCCGCCTAAATCCTGATTTATTTCCTAAAGTCAGCATTTGATTTCAGGAAATCAAATTTCCCCATTACTGCAGTCCCGCCACTCCCTACCCTGCTTGCCGCCTCTCTCTCCCCTTTCTCTCCCACCGCCATTCTCCCTCTCTAAGCCAGGGAATTGAATACCGTGGATCATCCCGCCCCCCTCCTTTTTCCTGGACTTGCGTTACCTGGCCGATCCTCCCCTCTCATCAACAGCTCATTTCCTCTCCTTAGGCCAAGCCATTGAATTGCCTTGAGTCCTCTTCTCCCAAGTACCTCCCGTGCATAGAA